AATAACTAAATTAAAATAAAAAAATTAAAATATGAACAACAAAAATAAATATTTTCTTACCACATCTTTTAGTTTTACTTCAATTTCTTCTGATGAATATTTTTTATGTGTTGATGTACCTTTACGTAAAAGTATATCACAATACTGTGCTAATAATTCAGGACAACGTGATTCAGCAAGAGTTGTACGAGTTGTTCTATAATTATAATAAAAAAAAAGAATGAAATGAAATGAAATGAATTTAAATTTCATTTACCCTCGTGTAGCACGAGCTGGCATATCAAGTTGAAAGACTGAAATATCATTAATTATTTTTTGAAAAGCTAATAAAATTTAAAAAATAATTATTAAATAGAAAATAAAAAAGAAACACATAAAAGGAAGTCAATTAACCTTTATCACGAGATGTAAGAAATCTTGGATCATTTAAAAATGCATCACGAACAAGATTTGAAAATTGTCGATAAAGATCTAATAATTGTTGAACATAACTTTCAGGATCCTAACAAAAATAATTTTTTGTTTTCTATTTAATTTTTATAAATAAATAAATAAATAAAACAAACTTGTTTAATTGTATCTTTATTTTTAAGCATATTATCAAGACCTTGTTTAACAATAAATGATTCAAGTGATTGTGTTAATGAACTTATATCTCCTGTATGATCGAGAAGTACAAATACAAGACGTAAACCTTAAAAAAAAGATATTAATTAAAATTTATTTAAAATAAATTTTATTTTCATTCTCACGTTCAATATCATTATTTTCAATTAAATTAGGACATTCATTTGTAATTTGTTCACGAAATTCCGTAACAAATACATCAACACAACGACGAACTAATAATGGTACACTATTACATTCTGGTACGGATTCAAGATAACGTCTAGCACGTTTTTCTTCTTCCTAAGATTAAAAATTAAATAATAATATAAAAATTCTATTATCTAATATTACTTTAAGTTTTTGATCTGCATAATGAAGATAAGATAAAATACCATGTTCAGTAAGATATTGACCAGCTTTTTGTTTATAAAATCGAGTTGTTTCATTTAAATAAGCACGTTCAAAATTTTCAATATAAACTTTATATTTATCTTTATCATCTGTTTTTAAACTGACTGAAAACAAAAGAAAAAAAAAACAACAGAATAATTATTCTTTATCAATCTTAAATTTCAATTATGAATTTCTTTCTCAACTAATCTGTAAGAATCATATGGATTCTAAAAAATCTATTTTTTCATAGTTTTCAGATTAAAAATTTACAAGAGAAATGAGAGCTGTGGTTCCAATCATCGAAACTGAGATTACAAGAAAAAAAAAATGTTGTTTTTTTTTGAAGCAGTACTAAAAACTACAGGGTAGTCCAAAAGTCACGCAACCGAAGCAAAAATTGAATATCTCAATTAAGGCTTGAGGAAACAGGGTGTTTTTTTTACCAATGATAGAGGCATGTACAAGCTTTATATTCATAAGGACATGTCTAGAGAGATTCTTTGTTAAATATATTGTTTTCTATTCTATCTGTGAAAAAAGTAAAATCGTTTTGTTGAGGTCATTAGTAGTATTTCATAAAGGCTCTATCTAATCTTGTTCATATGGATTTAAAACTTAACAAAGGGTCTTTCTAGACATGTTTTTATGGATATAAAGCTTGTACATGCCTCTATCACTGGTAAAAAAAAATCACCCCGTTTGCTTAAGCCTTAATTGAGATATTCAATTTTTACTTCGGTTGCGTGACTTTTTGGCCACCCTGTATAATTAAGTTTTCTATGACTTTTATCGAAATCACGTCAAACAAAGCAAAATTTCAGAAGAGATGAAGAAAAAGTTTTTTCTTTAGCATTATGGGAACCTCTTCAGCTGTCCCCTTTCGATTTCAGTGCTTTTTTTTCGTCTATAGATACTATACAGCCAAGATCAGAACAAAAAAATGCATCGCTCCCATACGTCTCTATTTCAGATGTATACGACAAACAGAATTTAGGTTTCATATCATACAATCAAATATTAGTATTCTACAAATCACAAATATTTCCTAAATCATTAAGATGTTCACAATTTAAAAAGAAATATCATATTCTTATCATGTATAAAATAACATCATTAATAATAAACTAATTGTCAAATATCTCAGCTGTCTATATACTTAAGATATATGAGACTACATTAAAAAAACAAAAAAATATATGTAACAGTCATTTTCTTTACCATATGAATCTCGAACACCAATAACTAATTGTGAATCAAATGATTCACCATTACGTTCTGCTTGAACTAATTTCATTGCACTATTCTAAAAAAAAAAAAAAAAATTTACAATTATCATTTTAGTTTTTTTCATTTCAGTATAATTAATTTTATTTTACTTGAAGACGATGTTTTATATCTTTAAATATATTATTATTCCATGATTCAAGCATTAATTGTCGAACTTGATCTGTATTACGTGTTGTTTTTTCTGCATTATATGTTGGATTAGTAGATATATTTCCATTTGAAGTTGTTTCAATTCGAACAAATGGTTTCGGTAAATATTCACATTGTTCATAAAATTTTGACCATTCATGTATATATGCTTTAAGAAGACTAGAAAATAATCAAATAAAAAAAACAATAATAATAATTAATTCAAACATAATTAGAATTGTACATACGCTGAATCTTCATCATGTCGTAGAACACGCTAAAATAAATAATAATAAAAAATATTTAATATAATCTAGTTTTTTTGTTTTTTTTTATTGTAGCATGAAATCAATTTAAGGATTAGATAATGTTTATATTAGCGTAGATGATTAATCAATTGTTAGAATTTTAGAAAATAATATTGTTTGATAGATAATTAAAGATAGATTTTCAAAAGTTAATTCATTAGAGCTACATATGAATCTGTTTACTTATAACACCATCATGGAATGATGAACAAAATTCTGAAGTTTGATGAGATCAACATTGAAAAAAAAACAGTTTAAAATCAATAACCTACAGCATATGATAAAAATTTTGATATTTAAACATTTTTCTATCTCTCTTGCTCATGTACATTTAATCAGCATTTTTTTTTTCTTTGGTATATTGAATTTACACAAAAGAATAATGTTGATACTAGATTTCGGCACTGATGAATATGTAATAATTAAAATTTAATTGAGAATATTAGTACCTTTATACATATTTAAATGACATTCAGATCGTCTCTACTATAACTTCGAATCACTTATTTAATATTAACTTTTCTTTAGTTATATATAATGAAAGTTAATATAAAAGAAATACTAATTTCTATTGTCTTCTTTGATTTTTCATGTTAATTTTGAAGAGTTAAACTAACGAGGGAACATTCCCAAGTGATTCGTTCTATTTTGATTCATTCGTAAGTCATTCGATAGAGTATATTGAGATAAGAAATAGTCTAAAAGGATTCGTGCCCATGGTCTAGTAGTGAGGAGTTATGGCCGTTTTACTGTGAGCCAGGCATTACGGAAAAAAACCAAAATGAAACATTTCGAGCTGAAATTCTATATATAGATAGATTTAATAGTCACTATATAGTCCTGAAAGTTTCAACGAAAACGAACATGTCTTTATCGAGTTATTCAACTTTTTAAAAAAAAGCTGTTTGTCATAGAAGGACACAATAATCCAGTTTAGTTGGATATTGAATATCTCGAGAAAGACATGTTCGTTTTTGTTGAAACTTTCAGGACTATATAATGACTATTAAATCTAACTATATATAGAATTTCAGCTCGAAATGTTTCATTTTAGTTTTTTCCGTAATGCCTGGCTCACAGTAAAAATTTCACTAAAACGACCATAACTTGTCACTACTAGACCATGGGCACAAATCATTTTAGGCTATTTCTTATCTCAATATACTCTATAGAATGACTTACGAATGAATCAAAACAGAGCGAATCACTTGAGAATATTCCCTCGTAAGATAAATTTCGTTTCAACAGTCATTTAATAAAAACATTTTTCTATTATACGAAATGCTACAAAAATCATTATGATGACGTTTCGAAAGGAGATGAGATTACAGGAAAATAATAAATGAGGTAATGTGTGAATAACTCCTCTCATAATTGAATTATATAATAACATTTATTTTAGGATGATTCATATTCAAAAATTAAAATTTTAGTTAGATTAGTAGAATGAATTTCTAATTTTTATAGAATGTTTTAAATAAAAAGTACAAGATTCTAAATTCAAATTCTCTATAACTAATTAATTTTAAAAGAAATTCAAGATCAATATCATGAAGAAAAATAATCAATGATATTTCTCGATTCTTAAAAAACAAAAAAATCTTGTATTTTACTAACTTCTTGTGCTTGTTTAATATGTCGAGTAATTTCATTAGATAATTCTGAAAATATTTCCGGTATACTTGATGGATACCATGTCGAAACACTATATACATCACTATCAAAAATCAATAAAATTAAAATGATTATATATTAATATAAAAATAATCTAAATTATATAAATATTTACGTAAATAAATTTTGCCATTCAACTTGTGAAGTTGGTTCTTGTCGAAGAATTTTTAATACAACACGTTTCATTTGTGGCCATCGATCTTGAAATGTAGCTGGATGATGCTTTTTTTTAGAAAAGAAAAAACAAAAAAAACATTAAAAATAAATTTACAAAGTTCAATTCATTTGATAACTTACCATAATTATTTCTCACAAAAAAAAAGATAAAGAACAAAAAAAAAACTCAATCGGAAAACAACAAAAAGAAGATATGATGATTCAATTCATATATATTTCTGATTTGTTAACAAATCATAAGCCAATCCGATAAATCTAGTATGCGTTACTATCAATGTAAAACGATCTAATTATCAAATGAAACCAAAAAAATAAAAATAAAAAACATTCAACAACTTCTTTCATATTTAGATTTATTTATTTTTCATTATTCGAAAAAATAAAATACATAGACAAAAAAAAAATCAAATAAGCAATTGAGTAATGTTTCCGAATGGTAATTATAATGAAATTATATCTGACGGTTTAACAGTTAAAGAATTATTTCAAAATAATGATGGTTTAACTTATAATGATTTTATTATATTACCTGGTTATATTAATTTTTCATCCGATAATGTTTCACTTACTGCTAAACTTACAAAAAATATTACAATTAAAACACCATTTGTATCAAGTCCAATGGATACGGTATCAGAATCAACAATGGCTAGTAAGATTTAAGTCTTTAAAAAAAAAGAAATTTAAGATTTTCCTCTTTTGTTTTTTCAGTTGCAATGGCACTTAATGGCGGAATTGGTATAATTCATCATAATTGCTCAATTGATTATCAAGTAAATGAAGTAAGACGTGTTAAACGTTATGAACAAGGTTTTATAAGTGATCCACTTGTTCTTTCACCAACACATACAGTTGCAGATATTTATGCTATTAAAAAATTACATGGATTTTCTGGTAAAAATATTCTATGTTATTTTATTTTATAATTAAGAACGATTTTTTTTATTTTTCTTTCTTTTACAAAAGGAATACCAGTGACAGAAAGTGGAAAAATTAATAGCAAATTATTAGGTTTAATAACATTTCGTGATATTGATTTTTTAAGTAAAGATCAATGGTCAAATATACCAATAAGTCAAGTAATGACACCAATTGATGAACTTATAACAGCAAAAAATAATTTAACACTTAAAGATGCATATCATATATTGCAAAGAAGTAAAAAAGGTTCGTTATATAATGTAATTCTTTTTTTTTTCGTCTTCAATGGTTTCTTTTTATTAAATAAGAAACCTTAAAAATATCCAATTCTATCTCATATATTTCCAAGTATAAAACGTCATGTAAAAAAAATAAAATAAACAATTCGATAAAAATAGATGATTATATAACCATCTACTATGAATTATTTTTAAACTTATTGGATAGTTCTTTTTAACATTTAATAATCTAACTTTGAATAAAATTATTATGTAAATAAATAAATAAATAAATCTTGATCCTTAATATCTTAGCATCCTTACATAAAGTTTCAATTTGAAAGTAACTATTAGTAAGAGTTAACTGTTTCAACATAGATTTTTATATTTAATAAATTTATTGTTTGTCTCCATGTGTGATGGAACGTTACTAATAAATTTTAGACGAACAAAAATAATATTGAAAAAAAGAAAAAAACGAGGTATGTTTTTCATTTTGATCCATTTGTTTGCTTTGTTCTTGCTATTTCTTTTTCACAAATTTCATTGATTTAAAAACTATCATATGACATCCAGACTGATTAGTTTTTTTTTTTTTTTTTTGAGAAAAAGAAAGTTTTTATGAAAAATATTATAATCATTTTTTGTTTTGTTTTGTTGTCTAGGAAAATTACCAATTATTGATTCTGATGGTAATCTTGTATCATTAATAGCTCGTACTGATTTAGAAAAAAATCGTGATTATCCATTAGCATCAAAAGATAAACATGGACAATTATTATGTGGAGCTGCTATAGGTACACGTAAAGATGATGAAAAACGTCTTGAAGCTCTTGCACAAGTTGGTGTTGATGTTCTTGTACTTGATTCATCACAAGGAAATTCTATATATCAAATTGAAATGATTAAACATATTAAAAATACTTATCCAAATATACAAATTATTGCTGGTAATGTTGTTACACAAGCACAATCAAAAAATTTAATTGATGCTGGTGCTGATGCATTACGTGTTGGTATGGGTAGTGGATCAATTTGTATTACACAAGAAGTTATGGCTGTTGGACGTGCACAAGCAACTGCTGTTTATAAAGTAAGTGAATATGCAGGTCGATATGATATACCTGTTATTGCTGATGGAGGTATATCATGTGTTGGACATATTGTTAAAGCCTTAACATTAGGTGCTAATTGTGTTATGATGGGATCATTATTAGCTGGTACACATGAAGCACCAGGAGATTATTATTATCAAGATGGTGTTAGACTTAAAAAATGTAAGTAGAAAACAAAACAAAAACAAAAATATATTGTATAAATATGAAATAAAAAATCTCTATGAAATTTTTAGTTGTTTATACGGTAAAGTAAATTGAAATTTTTCATTATATTATCAATGTGTTTTGATTATTTGTTTTTTCTTTTTTTTATAAACAAAAATATAATATATTTTTACACAGCTACTAATTATTCTCATAAATTAACGAATATATAAATGAAAATCATCGTCGTTCTTTTTGTTTGTTATCGACATGAAAGTGTTCACTAGAAAGAGGCTAGGCCTATTCTAAAAGCAGCTTTTTATAAGTAACAGACACGTTTTATAGGTATCTGAAGGATGCTAGTGATTAAACAAAATTAACTATTATTACAATATAGTAAAATTTCCCTGTCGTGGACACTATTATGACTTTTTTCAAAAATATTCATTAAAGACCTACATGATGATATCAACTCTATTTCCAACAAAAATTCATCTCGTCAAATCGTGACTTATTATCTATAACGAAGGTATCCACAATGGGAAGTTTTACTGTATTTTCTAATCGATATCATAGATATGTAACTTGTCATTGCTATATATATTTTTTCTATTAAATAAATTGTAACATACATTATTTATTTTATTTTCATAGATCGTGGTATGGGTAGTCTTGATGCAATGACAGCATGTCAAGAATTATCAGCTGCAAGTCGATATTATTCCGAAACAGATCATGTTAAAGTAGCTCAAGGTGTATCAGGTAGTGTGGTTGACAAGGGTAGTGTTCATCGATTTATTGGTGGTTATCTTTATACTGGTATACAAAAATCTCTTCAAGATATTGGTTGTCAATCACTTGAACAATTACATCAAGAATCAAATCAAGGAATAATTAAAGTTGAAAAACGTACAACAGCAGCACAAATTGAAGGTGGTGTACATAATTTACATTCATTTGAAAAACGACTTTTTTAAAATAAAACAAAATATCATAATCAATCATTATATGTGATGATTTATTTATTTTTTATTTCGGCATTAAAAGAAAAAAAAAACATTGAGAAGTTTTTTTTTTTTATTTTTTTTGTTTTTGTTTTGTTGTTGTATATTTATATAAATGTATTGTCAATGTAAAAATCTGTTGTATTGTATGTGTAATCATTCCGATGTTTTGTCTTCGCAATCAATCTAGAATTTTTTCAATTTAATTATGCCTCTTATTTATTTCTATATGTAAGTATACATCTGTATACAGTTCAAAACTATAGTGAGAACATGCTTGTTTTTTTATTGCAACAATCTATGTGAATATCAGAAGTACAAATACAACTCTAATTTAAATAAATGGATTCATTATTTATATACTCATACTTTGTTGATTTGTGTTTGTTCAAGAAATAATGCGAATAAATTGATCGTATCATTTAAAATGAAAGAATCGGATGTACTATGAGAAATTCGAATCAGAAGTTGTGAGAATGCAAGGCGAAGAATAAAATATTCTCCCTGTTTCGATCTCTGATTCAAATCAACATCGGACATATGATCAAAATTTGGTAGTATAGATGCTCTAAGATCATGCCAGTGGCGTAGCCAAGAATTTTTGAGTCATAAGCAATTCATCAACCGAACTATTTTGAGTTACGGGCAGCTAAGGGCAACCGTTATGATTTCAAAAATATTCATGGGCAATAACTTTTGAAGCTATGGGCAATTGCCCAATGGCCCTACTCCTGGCTACGCCATTGGTTCATGCATTGATCGATGGTTTTTCGAAATATTTAAAACTTTAGTAGCCGTGATTGAAATTTTTCGATGAATTTTTTAAAATTTCTTAGGTACGAAAAGTTTTCACATGAAAAAGTGAGAAGATGATGGTGGAGAACTTGTTGACCAGAACCTAGACAGTTGCATCTTCAAAACTAATTTGAAACATCAGAGATTTTTTAAATTCAAATATTTATTTTCGTATCATGGTGGCGATGCATCTGTCGATCGGCTTATACTTTCATTTGCAACTGTATTGTTAACATCTTGCAAGCATTAATTTTTTTTTGTACTTCGTCGGTACGCATTTTTTTAGTATATACGTTTGTAATTCCATATACGACAGCATGACTGAATTACGCTTAAATGATTTCTTTTTTCGGCTAGTCAAGTTAAAAACATAAAAGAGAAAATAGTTAACGTAAGTCTCAATATTCAGATAATTGACGTGCTTCAATAGATGTTGAAGTGACCTTTTGTTTAGTATATGAAATTAGTTTGAGCACTTTAAAATATTTTAGCAATTCACTTATTAGCTAAAAGAAACAGAAAATAATGTTGCGAAATAGTGATTGAAAGTTGTTAAAAATACATTATCACATTAGTTGTTGAGTAAATTTTCTTTGCTTCTATCTCTTTCACACATTATTCTTAATTTCCTATTGTATCTATTCGAAAAAAGTTCAGTTCAAAACTATAATAAATGTTAGACATTTTAAGAAACTACTAAAAGATTTATTTATCGCATCACATTCGTTGTACAGATAATATATCAATGATGTAAGATGATTTTCAAACTAACTGAACATTACATTTATTCATCATACTCTAAGCAACTCTGTTGTAATTAAATCAATCTAAACAAAAACAATTTTCTAACATATATCTACTCTATTACATAGAACAAAGTTCTCTAGTAATATTTTACTCAATGACAAAAATTGATTTTATTGTATGAATTCAAATGATACTTTTTTTTTTCAGCAAATATCAGATATTATTAAACAATCCATGTTTCCAATCAATAATACTTTTATAATTGAACCATTCATTGTTTATATCATGTACAAAAAAAAAACAAAACAAAATGATTTTCTACTTGTCTGCTTTTCAAGACAATCTTCTCTTTATCTTAAAAAAGGGATCAAACAAAATTTTGTTTATTTTCTTTGTATTCGAACATATTGTAGGTTTTTTTTCTTCTGTTTATCATATCCATATTTAATCTAGACTTATGTCCATTTATTCAAATCATTTGAACAAAAAAGACTTTCAATGTTGATCTCCGCTTTATAATGAGAAACAGAATACACATGGTATCGTCTATCATCTTTCTTTCACGTCATCTCTACATTCAAGATGCTCTCTTCTCATATTCTTTTTATTTCTTCTCATCGCATATCATATGAACTATCAAATAAATGTTGATTCCCACGATCGATCGATCGAACACAACATTCTATTCTTCTTATTCGACTACAAGGAAATGAACACATGAGAAGATGTTTGTCTATTGTTCACGCCAATATTTTTAATTGCTTTTCTTTACCGACAAACAAAAATCACAAATAATATTGAATATCTATCTATAGTTTTTCTAAGGCGTGTCAAAAAATGTGTTATATTGAATATTTAAAAAAACAATGATCAAACTATGTCATCTAAATAAAAGATTATAAATCGATAGACAAGAAAGAATGTTTGAAATAATACAAAAATATGTGAATAATTTCATAATGAAATTTTTTTTTTTGAATGTTCAACGATTATTTCAAATTAATAATCATTAGATATTAAGTCTTTCAATTCATTTAACAAAGTTAAATTGTGATAATCTTTATAGATTTATTCTTCGATCTATTTTCTTTGACAAACACGCACACGACCGACGTTCAATACATTTCTAATATAGATAATTGAAATGAATGCATTCGATTCATCATCAAAACTATCCGCCATTGCATGAGATATTGTCTGTCTACTTCATTATCACGGATATCCGATAGCGGCATTGTGTCGCTTTTTTTTTTCTTCTCCTTTGTATTCATTTTTACGAATACTGTTTTCTATTTTGAATATATTCTAATTATATATTTCAATTGTACTGTTAGAAATCTGTATTTCGGCAAAAAAAAACAAAACAAGTTTTCTTTTTGTTTATTTGTCTGGTTGCTAAGCAAGCAGCTGAACATATATATTTTTTTCGACGGTTGAACGTCCGTTTGTGCTCATACACTCTCGCATATGCTCATGAACATTGTCGACTTAAGATTATGCATACAATGCGGACGACCAGAAAGTGAGAGAAGAAAAATATAGCGATCGAGCACGAAAGAGAGAGAGAAAAAGATTGTTCAATTTTTTTGTCTGTTCTCTCTTTTTTTTTCTTTTTTTGTTTCATAGACATACGCTCGCGTTTTCTCATTCATTGCTACCATTGACCGCCAACCGTCATCATCATTACAAATGAAACAACAGTTTTTGTAAAAAACAGAAAACTCTCATTCATTAAACGTTAATCAATTTATTATTATTATTATTATTACAATAAATATATTCACAATATTATGGGTGCTAATGATAGTCCAACAACAACTCGTTCAATTGTAACTGATTATTTCGATTGGCGTTTAAATAATAGAACAATAACAAATAATCGTTTATTTTTAATTGTACGTAAAATAGCTAGTGATAGTGAAACAGCTTGTAATTCTCAACATCCAACATTTATTACTCGATTTTTTTCATCATCACCGATTGATTTACAAACATTAAATAATATAAGAAGTATACATAGTGAAATAGCAAATCAATTATTTAATGATGGTGGTATAACATGGACACGTATTATAACATTTATATCATTTTCAGCTATGTTTGCTGAACATATTATACAATTACCAAATAATAATTTATCATCAAATTTAATCATATCATCTATTATTGATTGGACAACAAATTTTATTGATACAAATCTTCAAACATGGCTTCAAGATCAAAATAATTGGGTAAGAAAAAAAAGAAAAGATTTTCTTTTGTTGAAAGACAAAATTTTTATTTATTTCCTTTGTTTTCTTTTTGAAAAGGCCGGTTGTTTAAAATTTTATGATAAAACACCACAACGACGAAATTCAATTGGTCGTTATGCTGGTATACTTGGAACTATCGGTTAGTATTCTGACCTTTTGTAATAAAAATAGAAATACATATATACATTAATCGAATAGAGAAGAATCCTTAGAAAAGGCGTGTCACATACGACAGGTGATTAGATATATATGTGTTAGAACAACAGATTAGTAGAAAAAGGCATGTATGCGTGACAACATTATGCCTTTGGGAGGAGAAGAAATGAGTCCAATAGACAGATGTGATATACATTGAGAGGATAATAGCTTTTGCCCTAACATATAAGTAGTAGTGACAATCCATTAAACAATCAAGATGCATGAATCTTCATTTTTACCACCTACTAGGCTAATGTGATAACAAGTAAAACGTGTATATGTGCGTTATCCGGTTCGAAAGAATAAAACTAATTATATGTACACAGCATGATATATTCATCTTTTGTTTTCTTATAGGTATGCTTACAATCGGCGCTTTGTATATGAGACGAACTTGAAATATTTTCTTTCTTTTTTTTTTTTTTGTTTAACTGTTTTGTTCTCTTGTAACAGTGATTCTGTTTTTTTTTCTTTTTTTTATTGCTATTGTTGTTCTTCTTGTTTTGTCAAATATATATCTGAATGATGATGTATGTATAAATACATGGGATATAAACGACTGATTAAAAGATAATTTTATTGTTTGACTTTTGATATTTATATGAAGATTATTGTTTATCAGAATATTCATTAAATATATATATCTGATTTCGATGAGTCTATCTATCTATCATGCGGTGTTTTCTTTTTTTGTTATATGTAGTCGATCTCAATTTTGGACATATAAATATACATATGAAGAAAGAGAAGATGACAATTAGAGTGTATGGCCTGAAATGAATGAATTCATTTCATAAATTAAAAATTATTTGTGAGAATAAATGACAGTTGTTTGCAATTTCTGTTTTTTTTTTCTTTTTTAACAAGAATAATTTTATCTTCAATGATAATTAGCAAAGTTTTCATTCAAGTATATAAAAGAAAATGGATTGGTACAGAATGGTATATTTATTCAAGCTGATGATTCGATAATAGGATACGATGGTTGTAAAGTTATTTGAAATAAATTTTTATAACACCAATGCTGTCTATACAAGACAGAAACTGGAAAGAAGATATTGTTTTCACGAGCAAGTAAAATGATAATGATCAATTGACTGAGAAAAGTGCTTTAGTATCAAAATTTGAAAATATCTACTTGAAGTTTTTGTTGTCAAAGTGTACATAAATGTTGATGGTATTGAATTGATTGTACATTTCGATCAGAAGTGTTTTATGGAGCTCAGATACATTTTCAAGAAAAATAATAGTTAATGGAAATTCAAATCAAGGTTTTTATGCTCAACTCCAAGAGTCCATCTGGTTGATGTGAAAGCCAGTAGGATTTTGTCTGAAATTTTTCTGACAACCGGATCCGGGTTCGAAAATTGTCGATACGATGAACTCTACTCTACATATGTCTCAAACAATTCTTGTAAGAAAAGTATAGGGTACACTAGTCACCGAATATAAAAAACCAAAAAAAAAGTATATCCTATCTCCGGACGGCTATCTTATTTCCAGTAGAAAGTTTCATCGAAACTATCGAAATACGCTTCGATCAGATTCAGTAATATTTCACCTAACGAACTCTATCCTCTTCTCCTAGGCCTTAGCATCCAGGGTTACAGATCATCCCTTCTCTTCTACTGCAGAACTTAGCAACCGGAATTAAAGGTGTTGAATGTCATTAATAATAAGGACTAGAAGGCTCTAGAACATTTCAGAATCTTATTTGTAATTTAAATAGCTGAAATACCCTTTTCATTATTCAAAATAAGGTAGTTTCAGTTTTTTGTCCAGATAAATGATTATATTCAAAGTATGAAGGATGATGTTTTCTCTTCACAACTATTGTATGACCAACACAAAAGCATAAACTGATTAAGTCCTAGTTTTGAGAAATAATCGCATTTCAATCTTTCAGATTTCATTGAAATACATAACAGATCGTTAAGATCTACTGTCGATAAAACGAAAGTGTACAACAGGCTTCTTTGTCCATTAAATCAATGATCAGACTAATAATAATAAATCATGAAAATGATACGAAAAAAAAAGAAAAAAAAAACCATGCAAAAAGCAACAAGACAAAAAAAAAAGAGTATCAGTCCAAATAGAACTCTGTTCGAACTGTAGAAATAAAAAAGATAATGTTTGCTGATATTCGATTGTGGTTGAAAACGAACTGTGACCCTTTTAGGGATTTCATACTTCACGTATTTTGTATTAGTATAGGAAAGCTAAAATGAGACATACGAGTTTCACATTTAAATCCCTGTGGATCTGCGTTAACAAGTTTTTTTCATTGAATTCAATCTATAGACTGTCACCTATTACATGATAAAATGTCAAAAAGTAGTTCAAAATTTTACGATTTATACTTATTATAGATCACCGATATAGATTTGAATTAATTAGTATTTCTTCTACATGTAATACATAAAGATGATTTGTTATTAGAATCAAGATCATGAAATTTAGACAATGAAATGCATTACAAGAACGAGAAACTATCGAACAGTTGGTGAAGTTATCTGTTTTTTTCTTTTCTACGAAACACTATACACTTTTGAATAGAATATGATTTATTTTGCATGTGGACAAAGTGTTTTACAGCAGCACTCGAAGAAATATTTGAATATAAAAAAAGTAGAGCGAGATTAAAAGAGATAGAAAAGTGCTTCAAACGAATAAGAAGTTTGATAAAAGAAGAGAAAACTTTTTTTTTCTATCATAAATATTTCGAGTTGTTAAAAGTACATATTTGTTCTTTTTTTTTGTAAATGACATTAAATTTTATATTCTTTTTTAAACAGCTTTTTCTAATTAAAATAATAGAGAAAATATTTTGCTCTAGATTTCTTTTTTTTACAATAAGTTTTTGCAAATATGAAAAACAAAAGTATTGGATAAATTTAACAGTTGTATATTTTTTTTTTTCGTAAAAAGAAAAAGAGAACAAGTATTGTTTTCAAGCTCAATTATGTCGTTTCGAAAATGATGATCTTTGACTTTGAATTGTGATAGATTTTATTACGAAAATCAATGAGTTGTCTAAGTATTGATTCTTTTTTTTTTTGTTAGCAGATTAAAACTGAATATTGACATTGTGAAATTCTTATAAAAAATGAGTTGATCAAGGTATTATAGAGAATCTGTTGTAAAATAGTTCTCAAGCATATTCACTTTTTAATGATGGCTTGTACTCGATAAATGTGTCTTATCACTATTTTACAGGTATAAAAGAAACTTATATGAATAATCAAAAATAGATTATAATCCAGTTGAATTATGCTTTTTTGTGTGACTTATATGAAAAGTAAAAGTTTGACACACTCAAGACGCTCAAAATATAATATATAATACTATTTGCCTCTTTTATTACTCTTAAGAATAATGTCTATTTAGATTTTTTTTTTCTCTATAATTCAATTCTTATCTTATTCATCAAACATTATTATATGTAGCTACTTTTGATAGTTACATTTATTGAGACATTATCATTTTGTTCGTCGGTTAAACTCAAAAAATAGAAATGGGTGGTGGTGCAAGCAAGAAAAGACAACAAGAAGAACAAAAACAAAAAGAGGAACAAAGACGAAAAGAAGAACAAAAGCGAATAGAGTCTGAACAACAACCAGAAGATTCTGACCAAGAACAAGAAGATTCTGACCAAGAACAAGAAGATTCTGAACAAGAACAAATAGGTTCTGAATCAAAACGACAAGGTTCTAAACAGGAACGAATAGGTTCTAAACCAAAACGACAAGGTTCTAAACAAAAACGAAAAGATTCTGAACAAAAATCAAAAACTCCGTCAGTTGATGAATTTGCAGACTATGAACATCATACAGATGAAGATCAACGTATGTAAAAATTTGCTAGCATAAAAACTTCATTCAAATCATAAATATTTATCTGTATCTTAGATGAACAACGAAACGATATTAGTGATGAAGACGATGATAATCCAACATCATCACCTGTTGACAATCAGCATAATGATTCGTTAAAACGAAGTCTACCTACGTCTCCAGTTTCTTCAAAGGGAAGCAAGGGGCACAAAACGGGTACTAATACACCTAAATCAGATAGACATGCAGATGAAAAGAATGTTGATAACCTACACGAGCAACACAGTGGTACCTGTATACACTGTCCACATTGTAAACAAATGACAGAGAAAAAAAAAGAGCCAAGTCCAGGATTTTATGTAAAGCGTCCAGTTCATGGTGATATTATAATTAAAATGGATGATTACGATGATGAAGCTGTTAGAGAGAAAATTATTTCAGAAAAGCGTCATTATCCAGGTTCTTATGATTATCGACCTTATCTTACAATCGAAGAGACCGATGAAAAGGATAATCGAAAAAAAATTGATTATTATACACAACAGTTTGTTACTCGAAAAGCATCGGTTATTTTACTTTCGCATACTCCATATCCAGACTATAATGATCTGCGACGTCGCGAACAACGTTTAAACAAACCGTATGAACGATCATTGTTTGGTGACTAACTTCTTGTTTTTTTTTGTCTTCATTTCTTATTCAGCAAGAAAATGTACCGACGTTCTTTTTTTTCCCTCTGCTTTAAATCTACACATTCACTTTTCTATTAGAATATGAGCGCATCTAAATTTTATTATTATTTTTCAAATAATTTTTATTTTATACTAATCAACACTAAAGAAATAAATACAAAATATAATTAAATGCTTTTTCGGATATACATAGCAACAAAAACTAGGTTTTTTCATATTAGAAATCATAAGAAAAAAAAACCGGATTTCAATGAATATAATTATTCTATTGTTTATTATATTGGTAACTATACCTAATTATATTGATAACAAATTATTGAATGATTCTATGATTAAATCTCAATTGTTACATAATCATACACAGAATATTATTCAAACTCTAATGATCAATCAAAAAAAGCAAAATAAATTGTATGAATCTATGAATAAAAAAAATAAAGCTATATTGAAAAGATCTACTCGATGTGCATCTCATTGTCAACAACATGATTGTTGTAGGAAAACAAGATGTTTATGTATAAATGATTATTGGGGACCTGTTTGTTATTGTAGAAAATAATTATTATTAATTAAAGTAGAATAATAGAAAGAAAATTGAGAAGATTTTTTTTTTTCTTTTTGTTTTTTTAATTCTTTTAGAAAATCATATTTTATTAAACATCAATGATTAAGCGTGTAAATTAGAAATCGAATAAAAATAAATTTTAAACTAATCTTATTAACTATATGCCAATAGTCTCTTATCGATTGGAACCACTTGGTTCAATTGATTACTTATCATTTGTCTTGCTCGTAAATATGAAGATGTGCCGTTGCTAATCTTTCTTTTCTCTCGTTGCGTTCGATTATCTGTTTTGCTATGTATTCTGCAAAGAATTCTTGTTTGCATTTCTGAATAGAACGTTTTTCTTTTCTACATTTCTTTATTATGTCTTTTAGATCGATCTCGGTCATCATAGACAAATAAGGCATACAGACACAAGATTTTGTTATTGGACGTGCTTTTTTTCTTCTCATCATCGGGTTTTTTTTCTATTTCTTCTTCGACAGAGAAAAAAATGATTATCTACTCATGAACACAAACTGATAACTGTGGGTTTACATCTTCAAATAATAATAGCAAATAAGATGAATGTATAGTATAATGAAGCTAACTATTCTAATAACAATTCTATAAAATCCAGAAAAAATTTTCTTTCATTGCTTGAATGAAATTTCTTACTAGTTGTAAACGACAGATTTTTGTGATGATCATAACGACAGCTGACACACATCATCATCTAATTCATTTTAGTCCTTCTAATACGAACGACAAATTCTTTTAATACACATACAGTGTTATGATCGTTATTTAAATACATGTCGATTATATTTATACTTGTGATTATCATCATTTTGGGTGGTAGTGATTATCTTTTTCCTTATGTTCAAACATCTGAAGATGAAAATCGTCTTATACATTATTTATTTTCTGAACAAGGTTATAATCCACTTGTACGACCAATTCAACGTTCAAATGAAACTGTTGTTGTATCATTTGGTCTTTTATTAGTACAATTAATTCATGTAAATAGATGTTTTAAATAAAAAAATATTGATGTAAATTAAAATTTTGTTTTTATTTAATCATCTTTAGGTCTATGAAAAAGAACAAATTATGAAAACAAATACATGGTTACATATGAAATGGTAGTTTGTAAAATTAGAAAATCTATGACAATAATAAAAATTAGTATTTTAGGTATGATTCACAATTACGATGGAATCCTGATCGATATGGTTAGAAAATTTGTGCATTTGAATGATTGAATATATTTTAAAATGTTTTTTTTAGGTGGTATTCGTCAAATTAGTGTTCCGTTTACAAATGTTTGGACACCAGTAAGTTATTTATCTGTTTCATTATCACTATTTCTCTATTGAATTGAAACTAATCATCATTAAATGTAAGTCGAATTTTATTTAGAATTAGTAATGAAATGTCAAATCGGCAGATATAAAATATAAATTCATCATGAAAACAAAAAATAGAAATATAAAATAGATTATAATGCTATCTAACATTAGAAAATGTCAGATGAACTAGATTACTGATAATTTGACTGATATTTTCCAATGTAATATAAATCTCTCATGAAAAAACTATTCCAATGGTTTAATCATTTTTTTTCTCTTGAAATGTACGTACCTATAATCAATTAAAAGCTTTATTCTTTAAAGAAATTTTGTAAATTACGATTGAAAAAACAAAGATATACTCTTGTTTTTTGTTTTTTAATCTTTAGGATGTTGTTCTATTCAATAATGCAGGTATGAAGTCATTCATATTTATATATGATTTGTATTTTCTATAAATTTAATCAATAGATGGAAATTATGAAGTACCATTTAAATCAAAAGTAGTTCTTGTACATACAGGTGAAGTTCAATGGGTACCACCAGCTATCTATAAATCTTCATGTCGTATCGATGTGAAATTTTTTCCATTTGATACTCAAGAATGTGAAATGCGTTTTGCATCATGGACATATAATGCACGAGAAGTAACATTTGCAAATTATCCTGAAGAACAGGATAAAACAATTGAAATAAATACATTATTACCACAACAAGCAATCAGTGTAACTAGTGATGAAAAATATAAAGATGATTATCTTGAAAGTGGTACATGGGATGTTATTAGTGTATGAAGAAATTTTTTTCAAGTATTAATATTAAAAATATAGAATCTATTTCGTTTTTCTTTTTCTATTATATAGATTCCAAGTAAATTTGTTCATTATCGTTCAAATGCTTCAAGCTTATCACCTGATTATATTGAAATTGTATTTTTAATTAAAATGAGTCGTAAAACATTATATTATACAGTAAATTTAATTGTTCCAACAGGTTTAATGGGTATTCTTATATGTATTGTATTTTGTTTACCAACAGCAGCTGGTGAAAAAATGACATTATGCATGTCAATACTTTTAGCATTGAATCTTTTTCAACTTCTTGTAACAAAAATTTTACCACCAACATCAGCTGTTGTTCCATTAATAGCTAAATATTTACTTTTTACATTTACACTTAATGTTCTTGTTATTGGTAAGAAAAAAATAAATAAATTAAGAAAAATTTTTTTTGTTTTTTCTTTTTATTATTGTTCATATTTATTTTTTAATTTTTTATAGTGAATACAGTAATTATAACAAATTTTTATTATCGTACTCCAATGACACATACAATGCCTCGATGGGTACGACGTATTTTTTTGCATATACTTCCACGTTTATTATGTATGGAATCACCTACAGTTCGAGAAAAACGTGAAGAATATGAACTTTCATTAGCTGTTAGAAATATTAAACAATCAGTTATTCTTGAAAATCCTATGCATACAATAAATGAAACAATGAATAGAAAGCAAAGATCAAGACAAAAACATGCAGATAAGGTATATATTTTAACAAAAGAAATTTGTAAAAAGAATTTATGATCATCGATAGAATAGAAGTGCGTTAAGATTTGCTGAAACATTGTTTTGTTGAAATTAATGTTCACAGTAACATTGATGATACTAGAAATTGAAGTTTACTGAAATTAATGATCTGGTTGTGCAGTAAAACACTGAAGTGCTGACGCTATCAACGTATTTTACTGTTTGTATTTTTTTCATGTCTATTTGAGTATAGACAATTAATAAGATCTCGATCAATGAGCAACAGAGATACAATGATGACTGTAGAGTGTTCATCAAAGCATCGGTCTCTCGTTACCCAAAAAAAACTCAAAATAAAATCTAAGATCACTTCAGTTTTATCATGTGTTCACTTTTATCTCACAATTAGAGGTGTAAGCCGATAGGCTAATGGGCGGCGCCAGTTTTTTAAAACTTTTTAAAAATGCTCGGCGGCGCAGATTTGATATTCCAAGGTTGCACAGCGGCGGCGGCGGCTCGAAAATTGTAAAATTTCGAATACCATCGGCGGCGCGGCGGCTGTAATTAAAGTGTCTCAGCGGCGGCGGCTTGAAGTTTTAAAAGTACTACATTATCATAAAGAAATTAGTCTATGACCTTGTCTACATGAGGAGGATAATGCAGTACTCAATTCGTATTAAATCAATTCATGTCTACATTTGTCAGTTAATGCATCAATCAGAATCCTAGACTTTGAAATGAATCGTAGTTTTTGTTCACTTCAATCATAGAGGAATCGCTCATTGAAAACTGCGTCAGTCTCATTGAAAAATCCAATCAGACTTTGATTGGTGCATCAACTTTAATGCGATTCTGAATAGTGCAATAAATTTAATGCACTTTTAAGTGTTTTAAATGTTTATTAACTGTTTAACCAATCATGTCTCTTAATTTACCATCAAAATTTTTAGTGTAGACAAGGCCTATTTCAATATCTCGGCCTTTTTATCTTCAAACACATATGTGGAAAAACTTTAATTCACATCTAGACATAATTAAAAAAAAAGTCTAAAATTAAACAATAAATATAATTGCTAGGGTAAATAATAAATGAAAAATCATCACCACGATTGTTAATAAGTAAAGGCACAGCGTATTCAAATTTGTTGTTTTTATTTTGTTTTTGTTAATCAAAATTTAAAATGCTCGTCTCTTCTTGTATGTATTAATATACCTAATATAAAGACATAAAGAACTGAAATGATAACTTAGAATTTTCAACCAACACAGAATTAAGGGTTTGTTTACAGTTTAGAACCCCAAGCACCTGACTGGTCAAAGAACCAGCACGAAAGTGAAGTTGAAGGAGAGGAAGATAATGAAGAAGAGATATATTGGGATTCTAAGATGTCAAAGTACCGAATTAAAGAAAATATAAATAAAACGTTTATTTATGCTAGTTGCCAGCGGCGGCGGCGGCTCGAAAATTTTAAAATTTTGAATACCATCGGCGGCGCGGCGGCTGCAATTAAAGTGTCTCAGCGGCGGCGGCTTAAAATTTTTCGAGTCTGTC